ATGATATATAGAGAAATAAGTGTGTAAAATAGCAGAAAATGTGCTGCAGTTTATTACAAGGTTTTAGGGTAATATGCAACACCAACCCAGAGCCAATCTTTGGCTCTCGGCAAAGGCAGTCGCACTTCTTCCGTCTCCGTCCCATATCTCTCCTTGCTGGCTCGCCTTGTTTTCGTCTTATTCTATCTCTGAGGCTCTCCCTGCCCTGGTATCAAAACGAATAAGGGATTATGGATTTGATTAACCGGTCTCTGAATGCGATTGACACCATCTTCTCGACGAGAAGTTTGCGCTCAGGAGAGCCCACTTGTCCTGTGGGGATGTTTGCAGCTGGATACGTGATGGACGGGTGGGAGAAGTGGTGCGTCCTGTGCCTGGCCGCTCTGTCTCTGCAGGATATTGAAGATATTTACCTATTCAGAAATTTGATAGCAGGGTTTCTGCTGATGGGCTTATGCGGGGTCCTGGGGTATCGACGACTGATGAAAGCGGTCAGTGCTGCTCAAAACCCCACCAGGCTGGCCGGCTTGAATCAAACGCATATGTGTAGGGTCGCAAATGCTCAGACTATGGTTCTAGACCGCAAACTGGAAAACATCAGCGTGAAACTAGCGGCTTTGCAACAAGATTTGGCCAGATCGGGAGACGAGTGACGTACATTAAATATCTGTGAAATTGGCAGATATTGACCCAAAGTTGAAGTATTTTTCCTGCTGTTTCGGCTCCCTGTTTTCTTTTCTCCTGCCAGGCGGCCTCGGCTGGAGAAAAACAACTTTTCCCAGATAGCAAGATAAGGAGACGCTCTGAAATTCCTGCTACCTGTCAAGGACACCTGTTGAACTCTACAGGCTTACACACATACACACTTACACAACTACACATAAACAATCACTACCGATCCCCTCATCCAAACGCCTTCGTGTGCTTTCACCCACTGGAGGAGGTAGGGGGGTCTGCAATCCTGTCAACTGGCTCAGCAGGGACTCGAACCAGCATCCTTCTTGCTGTGAGGTGACAGTGCTAACCACTGAGTCACCGTGCCACTCTATTTTGTAGGGAACCCGGAAAGGGACTTAGTGGAGGAGAAAAAAATTGGCTGGGTGAAAAAAAAAAAAAAAATGGGTGAAAGAATAAAAATGGGTGGAAGGAAAATATATATTTCTAAGTTTTTGCGTTCTCTCGCAAAGTTTTGCGTTCTCTCGCAAAGATGTTTTGCGTTCCCTCGCTCGNGCGAAACGGTTTCTCCACAAACACTTCCTGTTCACTGCACTCACGTAAACCCTCCCGTTTTTGCCGAAATTCTCCCGTATTTTACCATTCTACCCCACTTTCTTTACATTACTGTGTGTCGATCGTCGACTTTCACTTTGCAACCTCTGAACCAGCGAATGCATGTATAAGCGCTGACTGACAGACGCGCTCCATACAATAAACTGATCCCAGATCAGCGTCTGTACATGCAATTTACAGAGGAGCGGGTGTATGTTTAAACAGACAAATACACTAATAATATGAAACATCTCCGTCCTGCATGTTTTATTTTAAACAGCTTATTTTCTCTTAAATGAGCACAAACAGTTTGTAAAGTAATGGACTGCTTTCATTATAGATGTGCATTCTTACAGAGACACCTCTGATATCAAACTAAACAAAACATGAGATTCATTTGCTGCTCACTTGTTTGATAACAGAAGTGTCCCTTTAAATGGCGCGTACAGACGCTGATCTGGGATCAGTTTATTGTACGAAGCGCGTCTGTCAGTCAGCGCACATGCATTCACTGGTTCAGAGGTTGCAAAGTGAAAGGCGACGATCAGCGCACAGTAATGTAAAGAAAGTGGGGTAGAATGGTAAAATATGGGAGGGTTTATGTGAATGAAGTGAACAGGAAGTGTTTTTGGAGAAACAGTTTTGCGAGAGAACGCAAAACATCTTTGCGAGAGAACGCAAAAACTTAGAAATATATATTTTCCTCCCACCCATATTTTTCTTTCACCCATTATTTTTTTTTCACCCAGCCAATTTTTTTCTCCTCCACTACGTCATTTCCGGGGTTCCGTAATTTTGCTTGTTTTAAGTTAAAAGCTAACTTAATTTTGACTCATTATTTTGAAAACAAGGCAATATTTTTGACTTGTCTAGAAAAAAGCTTCTTCATTTAAGCATGTTTAGATATTTGCACTTTAAACAAGTTAAAACTAAGTAAGAGAAGCATTTTTTGCAGTGTGTGTGTGTGTGTGTGTGTGTGTGTGTGTGTGTGTTGGTCAGTTTTGTGATTTACTGTGCTCTCGGTGACTCAGGGTTTGGGTTGGAGCAGGACACTGGACTTCCCCCATTTCGGCACTATGGTAGAAATGTTAAAAACGTCCCGCTGTGCCCATCCGAGCCAAACCAAAAGCTCTGCCCAAAATCTGCCTGGAATAAACCGAGAAAATTCCTGAAGGACAGCTGCAGCGAGACGGAGCTCAAACTCTGAAAAGAGCTGAAAAATGAGCCTCTTTCTATTTACAGCAGCATGCGTCTCAGATTGGATTATTTTGCAGGACTGATTCGGTTAGTTCGGAGTTTATCATTTAAGTTCATCTTTATTATAACAATTAAGTATTTTTTAAATCATGTAAAGTAAGTTTATTAAGCAAGTTTAGCTGCTGTCACGGTTGTGTATTTTCTTTAGCTCTTTACACAGTGCTGGTTGTTTTAAAATCATATGAACTTTCTACACATTTAATAATCCTGAAACATGATGATCTATACAGCAAAAGCTTACAATATTCAAAATAAAATATCTATCCATCCAGACATCTATCCATCAATCCTTAAATCCATCCATACATCCATCCATGTATCTGTCCATCCAACTATCCATAAATTCATCCATACATCTATCCATCAATCCTTAAATCCATCCATACTTCCATAAATCCAAGATCCATAAATCCATCCATACATCTATCCATCTATGTATCTGTCCATCCATAAATTTATACATCCAACTATCTATTAATTCATCCATACATCTATCCATCAATCTTTCTATGTCTATCTGTTCATCTATCTATCTGTCCATTCATAAATCTATCCATACATCTACATAATCCATTTATTCATCCATTCATCCAACCATCTATTCATTCACCCATCCATCTAACTGTCCATCCATCCACAAACAAATCCATACATTAAGCCACCTTTCCGTCTTTGCATCCATCCATAAATCTATCTGTCTTTCCATCCAATCCATCCATCCATCCATAAATCAATCCATACATCTATCCATAAAGCCACCTATCCGTCTTTCCATCCATCCATCCATCCATCCATTAATCTACATACATCTATCCATAAAGCCACCTATCTGTCCATCTATCCATCCATCCATTAATCTATCCATACATCTATCCATAAAGCCACCTATCCGTCTTTCCATCCATCCATCCATTAATCTACATACATCTATCCATAAAGCCACCTATCTGTCCATCTATCCATCCATCCATTAATCTATCTATTCATCCATCTATCTTTCAGTCCATCCATCCAGAAATCAATCCATCCATCCATCCATCCATCCATCCATCCATCCATCCATCTATCCCTAAATCTATAAATAAATCCATCCATCCATCCATTAATCTATCTATCTATCTATCTATCTATCTATCTATCTATCTATCTATCTATCTATCTATCTATCTGTCTGTCTGTCTGTCTGTCTGTCTGTCTGTCTGTCTGTCTGTCTGTCTGTCTGTCTGTCTATCTATCTATCTATCTATCTATCTATCCATCCATCCATCCATCCATCCATCCATCCATCCATCCATCCATCCATCCATCCATCCATCCATCCATCTATCTATCTATCTATCTATCTATCTACCTATCTATCTATCATCCATAAATCTATCTTTCTGTCCATCCGTCCATCCATCTAACAGCCCATGAATCTGTCTATATGTCTATCTGTCTATCTATCCATCTGTCCATCCATGAATCTATCCATACATCTATCCAATTCATTTATCCATCCATTCATCAACCCATTAATCCATCTGTCCATTCATACATCAATCTATAAATCCATCTATCCTTTGATCCATAAATCCATCTATCCCTCTATCCATCTATCCATGCATCCATATATCTACCCATCAATCCATACATCCATCCTTCTGTCAATGCATCCATCAGTCCACCTGTAAATCCATCCATCCATCCATCCCTCCATCTGTCATCCACCCATAAATCCATTTATCTGACCATAAATCTGTCCATCTATACATTCATCCATACATCTATCCATAAATCCATCTATCCATTCATCCATAAACCTATCCATCAATCCATCCATCCATCCATCCATTTGTCGACGCATCATTAGTCCATCCCTTAATCCATTTATCTGTCCATACATCTATCCATACATACAGCTATCCATCCATCCATTCATCCATCCATCCATCCATCCATCAGTCCATCCATAAATCTATCCATAAATCCATCCGTCCATACATTTATCCATAAATCAGTCCATCAATAAATCCATTCAAACATCTGTCAACCAATGTATCCATTCATCCAGAAATCTATCCATCAATGCATCCATCAGTCCATCCATAAATCCATCCATCCATCCAATCCATTCATCCATCTATCCATAATTCTATCCATCGATCCATCCCCACATCTATCTACCCCTCCATCCATCCATCCATCCATAAATCTATCAATTAATCCATCTATCCGTCCATACATTCATCCATAAATCTGTCAACCCATAAATCTAGCCATCAATCAATCCATAATTCTATCAAGCAATGCATCTCTCCGTCCATCAATCCATCCGTCAGAATCATTGTGTCTGAAGACTGTTTTATGATGCATCTGTGCTTTTGTTAATTGTGCTGTAGTTTACATACAGAACAGCCAAGCATACAGGTTACTGACCTCATCAAAACCCTGTATAAATGTGTGTGTGCTCGAGGTGTGTGTGTTCCTCTTACCGATAAATTTGCTCCATTCGTTGTTGAGATCGGCCTGGTTTGCCAAGCAGCCCTTCATGACATTCAGACAGTAGTTTCTGCAGGGCTTCAGTGTGAACAGACCCTGACAATACGAGCAGTAGAGCATCTTCGTGAAGCCGCTGACACACGACGAGCTCATGCTGACCTGCGCACACACACACACGGCAATAATACAACAGTCACCACACTACTTGTAGTGATGCTACAGCCTGACACTGGATGTCTCATAGTTTTGATTCGTACAATTGAATATAACTTTTAAAAATAAATAAATAAATAAAAAAAGTTAGAGAACAAAAAAATTATTTAGAGAAGAAAAAAAAATTTCAAGAAGAGGTTGGGGGTCATAAAATAAAATGATATAAAAAAAAAGTCACAAACACAATTTAGGGTTTTTTCATCTCACCTGAGCGACTCTGTTAGCGACGTCACGTCCGACCGCAAGTCCCTGTACGAATGTGCGCGCCGCAATAAACGCGCGAGTCACCTGTGATTTCAGCTTTTTAGGCACATCTCCAAACGGCCGCAGCTGCTCCGTGTATTTACCGATGCACTCCAAATATTCGTCCGTGATCTGAAACTGAGAGTTGAGCAGCTGAAACATGCGCTCTAGTAATCGTGTCCAGAAGTCCTTTAGCATCTCCTCCAGGTTGACGTTTCCGCCGGTGTAAAAACGCCGCAGCTCCGAGAACAGGCTCTGGAAGACCTCTGCGTTCTGCAGGTACGGTTTACCGTAAGTGCGGACAAACATCTCGTTCAGAGAGCGCTCGGCGCTCTCCAGCAGCTCCAAGAAGAAATCTAAAAAAATGTATAGATGTATAAATACTAAATAAAAAAGAACAACTTATTATGACAATATATCTCATTATTTTGACATACCGATATATTAGGTATGCGTTACTTTGCTGAAATAAGTTACTTCGACATGTCTATATATTACAAATGAGTTACTATACTGAAATAAGTTATTTCGACATGCCGATATGTTACGTTTGAGTTACTATGCTGAAATAAATTACTTTGACATGCCGATATATTACGTATGAGTTACTATGCTGAAATAAGTTATTTCGACATGCCGATATATTACGTATGAGTTACTATGCTGAAATCAATTACTTTGACATGCCGATATATTACGTATGAGTTACTATGCTGAAATCAATTACTTTGACATGCCGATATATTACGTATGAGGCACTAAGCTGAAATAAGTTATTTCGACATGCCGATATATTACGTATGAGTTACTATGCTGAAATAAATTACTTTGACATGCCGATATATTACGTATGAGTTACTGTGCTGAAATCAATTACTTTGACATGCCGATATATTACGTATGAGTTACTATGCTGAAATAAGTTACTTCGACATGCCGATATATTACGTATGAGTTACTATGCTGAAATCAATTACTTTGACATGCCGATATGTTACGTATGAGTTACTATGCTAAAATAAGTTACTTCGACATGCCGATATATTACGTATGAGTTACTAAGCTAAAATCAATTACTTTGACATGCCGATATATTACGTATGAGTTACTATGCTGAAATAAGTTATTTCGACATGCCGATAAATTACATATGAGTTACTATGTTAAAGTAAGTTATTTCGATAAACCGATATATTATGAATCACTTACTATGCTGAAATAAGTTATTTCGACATACCGATATATTACTTATGAGTAACTATGCTGAATTAAGTTATTTCGACATGCCGATATGTTACGTTTGAGTTACTATGCTGAAATAAATTACTTTGACATGCCGATATATTACGTATGAGTTACTATGCTGAAATAAGTTATTTCGACATGCCGATATATTACGTATGAGTTACTATGCTGAAATCAATTACTTTGACATGCCGATATATTACGTATGAGTTACTATGCTGAAATCAATTACTTTGACATGCCGATATATTACGTATGAGGCACTAAGCTGAAATAAGTTATTTCGACATGCCGATATATTACGTATGAGTTACTATGCTGAAATAAATTACTTTGACATGCCGATATATTACGTATGAGTTACTGTGCTGAAATCAATTACTTTGACATGCCGATATATTACGTATGAGTTACTATGCTGAAATAAGTTACTTCGACATGCCGATATATTACGTATGAGTTACTATGCTGAAATCAATTACTTTGACATGCCGATATGTTACGTATGAGTTACTATGCTAAAATAAGTTACTTCGACATGCCGATATATTACGTATGAGTTACTATGCTAAAATCAATTACTTTGACATGCCGATATATTACGTATGAGTTACTATGCTGAAATAAGTTATTTCGACATGCCGATAAATTACATATGAGTTACTATGTTAAAGTAAGTTATTTCGATAAACCGATATATTATGAATCACTTACTATGCTGAAATAAGTTATTTCGACATACCGATATATTACTTATGAGTAACTATGCTGAATTAAGTTACTTTGACATGCCAATATATTACGGATGAGTTACTAGGTTAAAGTAAGTTATTTCGACATACCGATACATTACGAATCACTTACTATGCTGAAATAAGTCATTTCGACAAACCGATATATTACGTATGAGTTACTATGCTAAAATAAGTTACTTTGAAATGCTGATATAGTAGGTATGAGTTACTATGCTAAAATAATTTACTTTGACATGCTGATATATTATGTATGAGTTACTATGCAGAAGTTATTTTGACATAACGATATATTACATATAACTTACTATGCTGAAATAAGTTATTTCGAAATACTGTTGTTACGTATGAGTTACTATGCTGAAATAAGTTACGTCGACATGCCAATATATCACGTATGAGTTACTACGCTTAAATAAGTTAATTCGACATGGCGATAAATTACGTATGCGTTACAATGCTGAAATAAGTTATTTTATCATACTGATATATTATGTATGAGTTACTATGCTAAAATAAGTTATTTCGACATACTGATTTATAACGTATAATTTACTATGCTGAAATAAGTTTTTTCAGCATACCGATATTACGTATCAGTTACTATGCTGAAATAAGTCATTTCGACATGCCGGTATATTACATATGAGTTACTATGCTGAAATAAGTTTTTTTTTTTTGTCATTGTTATGATTTGTCATGTTCAAGAAAGCAGTCTGAGATGATTTACGCTTCACAACATGGTGCGTTATCCTGCTGGGAGTAATGACTTGTTGAGTTGCTGCCATGTATTGACTGATTAGAAATTTGCCATACCGAGCAGTTTGGCAGGTGTACCTAATAAAGTGGCCAGTGAGTGTATGCTCATGTAATAACTTATATTAAAGAATTATAAAAACCACTATACATATACACTTGAATTGAAAAGTGCTATACAAATAAAAAGTATTATTATTATTATTACTATTAAATTAGTTGTTTGTATGAAACAAGTGAGGAATAGAGTCCTCAGTACAGTTAATGAATGTTAAAGAAGAAATCGTACCATCAAACCTTTTATGTCCGCTCATAAATGTGTCTCTGAGCTCCTCGCTGGCATCGTCCATGAGCTTCTGGAAGTCATGAGAGCTTCTGTGACTGAAGCTTTCCTCCATCTGAGTGTTACAGCAGGCTTCCAGAGGAGCACAAACACGCAGATCCTCACCTGAAGAAACACACACGCGCACGCACGCACACACGCACAAACACACACACACAGAATCAATTCTATTCTATTCCATTTAAAGAATCTGTTCTTTTTAACTTCGTTCATCAAAGAATCCTGAGAATTTAAATGTTTCTAAGTTTCCACAAAACTGTTTTCGTTAATTTTCCTTACTCCCTTATTTATCAAGGGTCACCACAGCGGAATGAACTGCCAACTATTCCAGCATTTGTTTTATATATTTATAAATAATCCTTTTGTTCTGATAACAGCAGCATTCACAGTCTCTTCAGTCCTCTCTTCTTCCCTCGGCTGTGTTCATGTGGGTAGCAGAGCTTATGCTTTCTCTCAGAAATTGGTCATTTCCATAATTTTGTTTTGTTTCGGATTTGCATATTTCATGCTAGCTCAATTTGGCTTGAAAAGTTTCCTAAATTGCACTGGTGTTTAAATTGAGGACAGATTTAAACTCATCACAAACACATGATGAAACCAGTCGTATCATGGTGAAACGCTGAAATTATGACTGCAGTCCAAACTAGATTAGAGCAAGACAAAAAAGCTAAAAATAAGTAAAGAAATAAAAATATATATATATATGTAAAATAAAATAAAAATCTCAATCATAATGCAAATGCTGTATATTGCTACAATATAATTGAAAAAAAATCAGAACAGTATACAAAATAGGGCATATATGAAATTACGTTTCATTTCATCTTAAATGCACACTGTACACACACACACACACACACACACACACACACACACACACAAATAAATTAATTAATTTAGATCATAAAATTTAACTTATACAGTTTAATCTAACTACCTTACAACAACAAATTAAAATAATGGAAAAATTTGCATACTTTGACAAACATTTCTAAAATTAAACAAAAGAATAAATAAATCAAACTTAACTATAAAACAAATAAAATAGAATAAATGAAAAACAAACAATAAAAAAACAAATAAAAATAAAGCAATAAAATCATCCAATTAAATAAACAAAAAGCAAACAACAAACAAACAACAGCAAGCAAGCAAACAAACAAAAACAAAAAGCAAACAAAAACAAACAACAAAAACAAACAAACAGCAAAACACAAACAAAAGCAAAAAAATAACAAACAGCAAACATAAACAAAAAGCAAACAAACAACAAAAAATAAACTAATCACAAAGACAAACAAACAAATGACAAACACACAAACAAACCAGCAAGCAAACAAACAGCAAACAAATAAACAGCAAATAAGCAAACAAACAGCAAACAAACAAACAGACAGCAAACAAACAGCAAACACAAACAAACAAACAAATCAAACAAACAACATACAGCAAACAAACAAAAACAAACAGGAAACAAAAACAGCAAACAAACTAAATAACTAACAAAAACAGCAAACCAACAGCAAGCAAACAAACAAACAAACAGCAAACAAACAAACAAACAAACAAACAAACAAACAAACACAAACAATAAACAAAAACAAACAAACAAAAACAAAAAACAGCAAACAAATAGTGAACAAGCAGCAAACCAAAAGCAAATACACAAACAAAAACAAAAAAGCAAGCAAACAAACAAACAAACAAACAAACAAAGAAACAAACACAAACAAACAAACACAAACAATAAACAAAAACAAACAAACAACAACAAAAAATACCGCAAACAAATAGCGAACAAGCAACAAACCAAAAGCAAATACACAAACAAAAAAGCAAACAAACAAACAAACAAACAAAGAAACAAACAGCAAGCAAGCAAACAAACAAACAAAAAACTGCAAACAAACAAACAGTAAACCAAAACAAACAACAAGAAACAGCAACCACAAACAGCAACCACAAACAGCTAACAAAAACAAACAAACAAAAACAAACAAACAAAAACAAACAGCGAACAAACAAACAGCAAACAAACAAGCAAACAAACAGCAAACAAACAAAAAAGCAAACAAAAACAGCAAACAGAAAGGAAGCAAACAAACAGCAAACAAAAACAGCAAACAAACAGCAAGCAAACAAAAACAAACAAACAAACTGTAAACAAAAAACAAACAAACCGCAAACAAAAACAAACTAACAAAAACAAACTACCAAAAAAACTAACAAAAACAAACAGCAAACAAAGTACAGCAAACCAACAAACAGCAAGCAAACAAACAAACAGCAAACAAACAAACCAAAAACAGCAAACACAATTAGTAAACCAAAACAAAGAGCAAACAAACAAAAAATAGCAAACAAACTAACATCCATCAAACAACCTGAAAAAAAATCTAGCAAACAGTAAACAAAACTAAAAACAGATGGTTGGATGCTTTGACATATGCTGCATGACTGTTGCTTTTGTAAACGAGCAAATGATGTTATAATGTTGTCGTTTTTAGAGTGAAATATTAATCTGAAATGAACCTGCCATGTTCAGGTACAAAAACATCTGATTTTTGCACATAAAAATATCCATAATCACACTCCATCCTCTTAAGCTGTCAGCGCACATCACTTTCTGACCTTTGTTTCCAGTTCTGGCTCAATGTTTTAAAGGAAAAGCCCCATTTCCCAACACCTCGGCTTTCCATGATTACCTAAAGCTCAAAATAACACACACACACACACACACACACACACACACACACACACACACACACACACACAACCTGCCATTAAACCAGGGCTAATCTAACCTCCTCAGCCTGACATCACATAAATCAACATGAAAAGCGTATTAAAGGTGGAAAACATCGAGTTAAAATAATGTCAGCCTGTTGATGAAAGACTGCGGTGATTTGTTACATGATTCTGACGAAAATGCAGTCACCATCACAGCACGGCTAACAGTGAATCCAGGAGGACAGAGAACAAACACAGAGAAACCTTTGAGAGTACAGTAGAGAGGATTAAAGTAGAAAAGGGGAAAATAGACAAGAGAATTGTAGACTAGACAGTAGAAACAGCACGGCATTTTAGAGTAAAGAAGAGAAAAATAGAGTATTGTAGAGTATAAGAGTTGAGTATAGTAGAGTCCTGCACAGTAAAGAAGACTAGAGTACAGCAGAGTACTTTATAGTATTGTACAGTACAGGGGACCGTTGTACCAGCATTGTGCAAGTTAAAGGGCACATAGTTTACCCCTTTTTTAAGTTTAAATATGAATATTATGGTTGCTCTGAGTGTGCCAGCTTAGGTTCAGTTCAACACACAGTTCAGATTTTGTTATTATAATGTGTTAAAAAGTGTCATGTTGGGGGCGTGTACACAGCTCGCTGATTTAGGGGCGTGTTGCTTCACATGAAAATTAGTTTCAAATTCCCGCCCAACGTAACAAGGGGGCAGAGCCAAGAGTTCCCCCGCTCTGTGTTTGGCAACAGACAGGGAGAAGCAGCATGAATGAGAGGATCAGCATTCAGCCGTACATGTACGACTCGGACACAGACCAAGCAGAGAGTACACAATCATTTGCGTTTTTGTATAGTTTTACAGCAACTGTGTGCTAGTTTCAAGTGCCGAGCTTGTACACCGACATAGATATATACATTAGATGTCGCCTGGCCTATTGTTGTCTTTTGGACGGAATGCGTCAATAGCACCGCCATCTTGCTACAGGGTAGCGCTCCTTTGAAATGAACTCAGGACCAAGGCACAGTGGAGGACTGTGGCCATCCAAAGCCAGAGATATACACATATATCTGTGATCGGGAGTTTTCCTGGATGTTAGTATGTAATTTTTTTTTTTTTTATTACGAAAATTATAATTTTACATCACTTTTCTACATTGATGGATCAGTGACCGCACGGGCATTCCTGACAAAAAGCTTGTGTTTGTGTGTACAGAAATGTACTATTCACCCTCCCTGTTAAATTTGATCTAATCATGTCCTGAAACACAGCTCCTCTCCTGCTTTCACTTCTCATACTGACGGAGGGAGCGATTCGTTTGTGAATGAATCCCCCGAACGACTCTTTCACTAACGTTAGCCGACAATAATACAAGTTTCTGGCAGCGCAGCATCTCGATGTCATATTTCTTTTGCATTGTTTGCTGATTTTATTCAACAAAACTAGCATAAGCCGAGTGTTTAGTGCGAGTTGGAGCTGCTTTGCCGTATGGTGAATGCAGTAAGTGACTGTTATCATCAATAACGTTACCTGATTAGCACAAAAGTTCAGAACATACAAAAACAGAAAAAAACTTAATATTACCTATGAAATGTTCTGCCTTTGTGCTTTGTTTTCTTTGTTTGCTCGTTTCTACACCCGTAGACAGCGCTAAAGTCCTGCATCTTCACGTAATAACACTGTCTTGACTAGTGCTGTTGAATGACATTTGTCCTGGGAGCACTGTACCAATGTGGCGGCGCTATTTACGCATGCTCAGGGTCCCTATGCGATATCTAGTGTTTATATCTATGGTACACCGAGACTAATAACTAGGCCCACCCGGAATCTGCAAGCACAGGATTCCACATATTTCCGCAGATTTTTAGCCCATCATTAATTCTGTTTTAATCTGTGTAAATCTATATTTATTCAGTTTTTTTAATTAATTTCAGTAATATTATTGACTAGAGTGAAAATGATCATCTGATTTATGTACAATACAGTGTGTACAGTAATATTTTCTGTCTTTTACTGGATACATTATATGACAAACTTGCTTTATTTACCAAATGTTGGATTAGCATTTTAGTTGGATTAGCATTTTAAACATTAAATAAAAGTTAAAAAGATATTATTTTTGATTTCATATATTAAGGTTTTAGTTATGAATCTCCCAAAATAACTCAGAAATCCGCAGACTTTTACCAAAATTCTCCGCAGAAATAGCAAAAAATGTCTGCAGATTTCGTCTGGCCCTACTAACAACCACGCACACTGAATTAACTTTGACTGAGGCACCGGATGCACCGCTCAGAGCCGCGACACGGCACACTCAGATGCGCACATTCGCATGTTATTTAAAATGAAACTATTCAGATGGGCTGAGC